AACATAATTCAGTCTTTTGATGAATAGAGTTTCCCTTTGAGATGCTTGTCAAAATTTAGTAGCTGCACAGTCCATAAATTAATAATTTGGGTGACAAGCTTTATTGGTTTAAAAGATTTTCTATACACATTATGCTAAAGTAATGTCAATATCCTTAGGGCCCAATTTCTCCCCACCATTTACATAATGAGAAAATATAATTCCTGCAATGTAAAGACATCTGTGCTAAATTTATAGGCTAAGGGGGGAGGAAGGGTCGCTTTAACAGAAGAGGCATTTGGGGGTCAAGGGTGATTCATGACCTCTGTTTCAGTAGGCTACATATAACCAAGGCCAATTCTGTGCCTTTGATTCCCTGGAGAAATTCTCTACAGACTACTCTTACAGAAGTCCTAGGTAAGCATGCGGCATGCACAGTGCAAAAACTGCTTAATCTTTTGTTTGTATATAGGTAAATAGAACATTTCAAATCATGTCCATTACATTCAGCAGTGTATGTATGTGTGTGTTGGCAAGATATAGCATAATCAAGTAAGGGAGAAACAAAACATCTCCTCCTAATGTTGATGGCAGCAATTGTGGAACAGTATAATGAGCCATTTTGCTCAGGCATCTCTTGTGGTTTGATCCAGAAAGCCGGAGCCCCAGACCATGTTAAACAAATGGACATACTGTGGTTTAATGCATCTGTCAGAGTAAAGACAACAGTATTGAGCAAACAGAATCAGACTAACCAAGGAGACACTAAGCCCGATGCAATTCCCTCTCGAGATTCACTTACACTCTAATCGTTAGTCTGAACTGATTACTTCCTGGTCTTTAGTCTTATCTCATTACCCACATCGACAATTATGCAAAACATATTTCTTTTCCTTAAATGAATTGATTCTTTTACTTAGGAGGATGATCGTTCCTTTGATGGACTGTCCGAACAAAGATTAAAATGGGATATGGGTCGGTTGGATACACTGAAAGGCTAAAAGGTCAACTGTGAGCAAGAGAAGTGTTTGAATGGATTAGAGTAATCTCTTTCTGTCTCTTTCCACCCTCTCTCTCCGTCTTTAAATAAAGGCTGTCCATTAAACAGCGGTTGAGAATCCCCTTTGGGATGGTACATGCAGATTTCACTAATAGAAAGCACACATGATTAATTTTTCAAGAAACTTCTGTTCGGTCCACACTCCACAGCTGCACTTCTCAGTGTCTCTTTGATTTAGCCATTGCAATATTCCTACGTTTTCTAATATTCCCAAGCGGCCATTATCTCCTGAGATTTAACAGCAGTGTGAGCAGTATCAGTGAACAATTTCCACACTAATGAATTATCAAAGTGTTCCCTCCAGTGCTTGAAATGAATTGAAGTTCAGCTGAAGTTCTCCAATCAGCTATCACAAGGCTAAAAATATGCGCCACAAATAAAATTTAAATTAAGCCTTTTAACTGTGACGGTTAAAGGCATTTCACACTATGCTTAACTCTTAACAGTGTTGTTATTGTTCACTAAAGCTAAAACTATTAAATAGTGTTTTTGTAAACTGAAATGCAATGAAAATTTAATTAGAATATTAGGTTAAAACCGTAAACTTAAATGAAACTTAGAAACTAACTGAAATATCTACGTTTGTTGAATTACTAAAATTGCAAAAAAAAAATATTTTTTTTTAGCTAAATAGAAATAGCCTATGACAAAAGCACAACAAAAATACAAAGACTTAAACTAAAATTATAATTGAAACTGAAAATATAAAAATGAATGCTTAATACATAGTATGTACAAAATACTAAAATAACATAGATTTAAAATGTATGCTGTTATGTTCTGTTTTGGATTTTACTCTTTTTTTTAACTTTCTTTGTTAATTAGTACCCACATCTGTTCCTTTTTATCTTTGATTCCTTTGTGTACTTATACCTGGTATTATGCCGGATCTTGTCAGATCCGACTTGGCCCCTCTCTCCCTCGGCTCCACCAGACACCACCACCCACCTCCACCGGGCTCCCGTATCCCTCATGCTCCACCTTGGTTAGACGTCGTTTTGCCTATGCCACGGATTTCTGAGCCGTCGACCTGTTCGGCTCCGTCTGGCTCCGCCTTCCTTACGGCTCCACCTCGGCTGCTGTGGCTCCCCTACGGCCTCCAGGACCATTGGTGTCTCTCCTGGTTCGTCCTCATCAGTTTGTCCTGGCTGTGCTCTGGGTCCACGCCTAGGCTACTCCTGCTCCTGGCTCCTTCCATCATAATCACCGCCTTGGTATCTACGCCAAAAATGCCAAAAACCTAAATATATATTTTTATTTAAAAATGTATTTTTGGTTCAAATACATTTTAGAAACTAAAGGTCCGACCATTGGTTAAGATTGAATAAATAATAGGGCTGGGTTAAAAATGTAGATTTCTCAATTTTAATCGATTGTCATTTTGATGAATCAAAATACAGATTTTTAAATCCCAAATAGCCAATCTTTTAGTCCAAGCTGTTTTCAGTTGATGAATGAACCAAACTTTGTACTGTGCCCTCACCCAATAAATTGTAATAAGCATTGTTGTTACTTTTAATATAAAACAATTAAGCTTTCAAATTCAGTCAATTTTATTACGCAATTCAAAATATAAAGGTTTTAGCACTCTTTCAAATCACGTGAATGGATCATCGATATCAAACCGAATTGAATTGAAATCAGAATTGAATCTAATTGCAAGCCTGTGAATCGAAATCAAATTGAATGGGGAATTTGTGTCAATACCCAGCCCTAATAAACGAGCAAGAATTTGGTTTAAATCTGTCCCTCAATACAATTGCACTCACAGGAACAAAAAACAGAAACAGTTAAAAACAGAAAGTAAGGAAGAGAAGAGGGAATGTCCCTAGCATCTTCGCAGAAAGGTAGCAGTGATCTAAATGATCAATGTACAATCCAATCGCAATTTATATCTCAGTGCAATGGTTTTATCTTAATATGTGAGCTATTTAATGCTATTACTGTACTGAATCAGTTTGAGGTGCTGTCCAGAAAGAAGAGAACTAAATCAATGGGGGAACACACTCTCTCTCCTTCCCCTATAGACACAAGAAAGAAAGATAGCAATGTGTATTAGGATGATCTATGGTAAAGCAGTGAGAGTGCACTGACCATAAACAATTCATTATGAGTGCAGAATGGCTGAGGAACAGATATCTGCCCAGACCAAGACACAGTTCAAATGTAAGCAAAAGAAATGATGAATGACAAAGGATGAGATCATCTATGTGGGATGAAGAACTGACTTTGCAATCGACCTGTGCGTGCATTTTATGTGTGCCATTGTGCACACACTCGGAAATAAATCAGACTGTCACCTTATGAAGCTCTCAAATGTAACACGTGATTTTGGTTTGGGGGTCTATAGGTCTATCTGTTGGTTTTATTATCCTTATTTTTTCATATTCGTTGCAGCACCTCTCTTCCCAGTCTGCCAAAAATGCTCTGTTTAATTACAGTCTCTATAGACCTTATTCAAAGCAGCGCCATGACATGTATGAAAGCGAGGCTGTGAGTGATAGACTTACTGTGTTTTCAATGGCTGCTGTAAAAAGCTGAATGAAGCTCCTAGATCACTTATCATTTTTGCAGTGTTTTATCAGTAGAACAATCCAGAAACACATGAAATAACAGTGGTAAAACCAACTGAAGAGATGTATGTCTATTCCTCACAGTATCGCTTTCATTCCCGTAAAAAAACGGTAACGCTTCCTTTTACAGTCCTGTTACCCATGTACATATATGTACTTATTGTAGTAATTACAATTACTGGGTAATAACTAGGAACTAACCTTGAACCTACCCCTAACCCATGTACTTACCTTATATTAGCCAGGTAAGTACACTGTAAGTACTGTAAAAGGAAGCCGTACCAAAAAAATCAAAGATGGTGCTGCTGTGAATAAGGTCTATAAAGCCCCTCCTTCTGAAAAGATCAGCTGGATTGGTGTGTTGTGATTGCTTTGAGTATGTTTTGGAAATGTCACGCCCCTTACCTTGCTTCTCAGGTTTAAACACACTTGGACATGGCGGCACAACACGCTAACGCAACTTAACCAGACCTCGACCCTTTTATTTGCATAGTCTTGGGCAGAAATTATTTGAACGTGGAATATTTTGACGTCTACGCTCCTGAAGAAAACTCAAAGCTACAATGGAGGTGTTTCAGGGATTTCGGAAACAGCACTGTAACGGATTTTTGTATTTTCAACAGTATTTTACTGTAATATGTACAGTATAATACTCTTAAAATGTGCCAACAGTATAAAACTGTAAGTAGCCAAGAATTATGAGAAAAAATATGTGTTTACTACTGTAACTATTTTCTATTGTAAATCATTAAAAAAAAATCTGTAATAGGAAATCAATTCTAATACTGTAAATAAAAATACAGTAGCTGAATGAATACAATATACAGTATTATTATTCCTGTAAATTAAAATATGGTACTTGTACTGTAAATGAACAATACAGTACTCATACTGTAAATAGGAATACAGTATACAATTGTATTACTGTAAATGAAATTACAGTACTGGTACTGTAAATACGTTTACAGTAACTTACTGGCATCCCCACACTGTAAAATTTACAGCAACCTTTTTTAGAGTGAGTGCTTTTTGATATAAAGCTCTGAAAGCTGCAGACCGTTTTCATGTTTAAACAGCAACATTACACGTGAAATTTGGAAAATGTAAAAAATAAAATAAAATAGTGTGCAGTGAGCTTTGTGTATTTACTGTATTACTTGCAACGAAATTGCCCTTTAAAAGACTATATACTACTGTGCAGTTTTGTATTTGAAAAAAACCCTTTAATTCAGGTTTTTCTCTTGCTCAGTCAGAGCAGAAAGATTCAAAATGTGTTGATAAGAGCTGAAAATAGCCTAATCCCTCTCTGTCCGTGAGCTTCACTCCTTCTCCTGCTGTACCAGCCAGAGGACAAACCAACACATCCTCCCTGCAGAAGGGATTAACACTCACAGGATATTTCAGGAGTTAAATCATTTGTGAGATTCATCCACATTCCTTTAGTAGTGTAAACACTCGCCAGCCCATGAGCTGAGAAAGGTGACGGGCTGCCGGCCATGTTCACTGCATCTGGAAGAAGAGGGGTTTGACATTAAATATTTACACTTTTAGTACTGTATGTGTTGCTATTTCGGGTTATTTGACTCATGTATCAAACCGTTGGTTTGTCCGTCCCTCCATCCATCAATCTGTCAGTTCATTTGTAGGCAATCTCCTCTAAAGTGTGTTCCTGCAGATTGCAAAAACAAACATTTCATCACAATAGAGCAATTTCACTTGAGCAAGAGTGACCTAATTACCATATTCAGATACTCAGTATACAACAGCACGATTTGTAACATGTTTTGAATCCTCACCACTCGCATACATTTATTTGATCAAAAATACAGGAAAAACAGTAACATTGAGCTCAATCAGCATGTTAGAAAGATTTCTAAGGATCATGTGATACTGAACACTTCCAGATTTTCATCACATTTACATTGTACTAATGTTTCACAATACTACTGTTGTACTGTATTTTTTTTTATCAAATAAATGCATAATTTCTTTCAAAAACATTTAAAAACATGAATTATTCTAAAATAAAATAAAAATGACTATTAGTGTACAGTATAAGGTAAGTGATCTTGTGTATGTTACAGGGTGTGTTTGTGTTGTATAAGTCTGTTTTCTAATCTATTTTTTTTTCCCACAGTAAACGTGTTCACTGTGCTAAGGCTGAAGTCTTTGGATGAAGGTGTAGATGGATGGATGCGACAGCTCCTCAAACCCCTGCAGGAGGCTCACTGCCTGAGCTTGGCATGACATCTGTCGAGGTATGTGACGGGGTGAATTATGTAATCTTGTATGTGTGTCTGTTCACTCTACAAGTATTTGGGCAATTTTTGTACAGGGAAATGTTGTGTACTTTTGTGTGTGTGTGTGTGTGTGTTTGTTAGAGAGAGAGCGATAGATCGATAGATCGATAGATCGATAGATAGATAGATAGATAGATAGATAGATAGATAGATAGATAGATAGATAGATAGATAGATAGATAGATAGATAGATAGATAGAGTGAGTGAGAGAGAGATGTGCGCGTTGGAGAAAGAGAGATTTAATAATTCAGCAGTGTTATAATTGGCTCAGTCTCACCTCCGAAAATCAGCTCTGAATCACGCTATCTGTACAGAAAGTCGTTAAATCTGAAGCGCACTATTAAAGGAACAGTGCACCCAAGAAATTTGAAGTCATTCTAATCGTGTCATTTTAAACCCATTTATTATTATTTTTCTTCCATAGAACACACAAAATAGTATTTATTATCATTATTATTATTAACTGTGTTCCATTGAAAAAAACAAAAAAACATCACAGCATACAGATGTGGAACGATATGGTTTGACTTAATAATGGCAGAAATTGTATTTTATGGGATAAAGTGTTCCTTGCAACTAAAACCACACACTTCCCCTGTCTTTAATTGTTGGTTCATAATCAGGTACAGTTAGTAGCACCGCCCTAAACTCATTGGCAGAGAGCTGCCTCAGACTGTTGTGATTGGCCAAAATGTGCATGCGAGGCAGCAGTCAGGTTTTTCCATAGCCTGTGTGATTTCTCCGGGCTACTATTTCAGTGATATCTGACAGCAGGGACATTTCATGTGTGGTGTTCAAAAATGAAATGCGCTTATTAAGACGAATAAAAGTGCTGGTCAGTGCAGAACTTGCCACCACATTTCTAAGGTGTTCTTGGCTGTTTCTAGGTCTTTGAGGTTGCCTGTTGCTATGCCAATTTATTGGTGGTTGCCATGGTGGAGCCCTTGTCAAAAGACCCAATTCCTTATGGCCTATATCTGTGATATTTTTACCCGGCTCGGGTCCCTCTTTCTATATAACTATAATAGAGGGATGTAACTTTACAAATTCCCACTGACTCCAGCGCTGTTAAGTGATTGGCCTCTAGAGGCAATCCATTTTATTTAGTTCTATCACAGCCGATTAACTTATTTCTGTGATACCTAACCTCATTGAAAATACAATAAAATAATAAATAAATACATTTTATCATTTTATTTAAACACAATTCACAATACATATATATTTATATATAATAGACACTATATATATATATATATATATATATGAAGAGTTCAGATGCAAAAGCCTCTAAATGCCATTTGAAATTTTCTTCTTTAATGATGACTTTTATCAAACTTGTATATTTAAGTTCAGTAATTTCACTTAAATAACAATTAATAGGTAATCATCATTGCCATTTAAGTGAAATTACTGAACTTAAATATACAAGTTTGATAAAAATGATCATTCTAGAAGAAAATTTCAAATGGCACTTTGCATCTGAACTCTTCATATATATATATATTTTTTTTGACAGAAATAATGGATGGATGGATAGATAATTCTAAATATCATATCAGGATAATATTAGTTAAAAGCAACACATTTCATGTGGTGTTGTTGGAGGTTTGAGATTGGGAAACACTGACTTATGATATATCTGGATTTGGATCATTTGTTATTTGATCAATTTCAGTTTCATTTAACTCCTTTACAAGACAATACTAACCCTAACTTTTTTCATCTCATATGTTTCTCTCTGTGTGTGTGCCTGTGACATGTACAGGAAGTGCGCTTGTACTGGAATAAGCTGACGTATAGTTCAGAACTGTACAATGTGCTCCTTCTATTGAAGAATTCTCAAGCAAGAAGTGTGTGTGAATACAATAGTCAACGTGGGAGTCTCGCTGCTCCATTTATCCGTGTGCGTTTTTTATCTCCTGCCTTTACTCCTACGGCAGGTAAAGAAAGTGATGTTATCTCTATTCAGCTCCTAATGTCAGCTAGTTCTGAACACAAAAGAGACACATATCCAGTGCGTGTTTGTGTGTACAGTGTGCGTTATAATGTCATGGGACGAGTTTTCCCAGATGGACATTCATTCCATACACAGAAACCAACACACACATCTACACTGGTCCACACACTGATAAACTACTGGTACACTGAGACAAACAAAAGACAGGAAGAAAGAACAGATGACAAAAATTAGAGAATGAGGAGAGGAGAGGCAAGCAAAGATATAAAGTGTACAAACACAACATCAAAATATTACTAAAGCAAAGCTATAGTATTTTAGGGCATATTTTATAGCCATGTTGTTTACTGTGGCCGTGGGTTGTGGTTAAAGCAACCCCCCTCTGTTTGACCAATGGCAGAATCAGAAAACCTTTTTGGAAACAGCCATTATTTTAAGTGCAGAAATGACATCATCATTAAACACCAAAACACAAATACATAAACCCATATTTGACTGCCTTTTGAGTGTTTTGCATCACACAGTGTAGTTGCCCTGGTGATAACATTGTAAGGGCAGAGGTCATGTCCTCAAGAGAGGATTGCCACACACACAACCATTCTAACTCACACACTCTCTCTTTCTTTCAGAACCATGGACAGCTCTAAGCGAGCAATACGATTGGCTGAGAGACACAGGGGCTGCAGAGAAAGAGAGAAAGAGAGAGAGAAGCTCACCAGGGGATGGAGTGAGTAAGCAGTGAGGGTTGGAGAGAGCTGGAGGGAAGGAGATCAGAGAGAAAAAAAGGATAGAAGAACTTCAAGAAAAGACAGATGCTATAGCTCTTCTCTTTGCCTACTAACGCCTGAGCTGGGTTCATGGCTGCGTGTGTGTGACGCGTATGTGTGTGACGGCAACCGCGCAGCAGCAGCAGGGGAGGACGGATCAAAGAGATTGTAGGACACGATGCATTTAGCAGCCTAACGTCTCTACGCACACACTGCAGCCGGCAAAAGGAGAACACGCTCATACTACGCGCATCTGCACGCAGCCCACCCCACACACACACACACACACCACGCGTGTGTGGGGACAGCGCAGATGAAGCAACCACCAAAGGGAGGTGCGGATCATTCCAGAAGCGTTTGGTAGAGGAGGGGACAGCGTTGGTGGCCGTAGCCCAGCAGGAGCGGTCGTAGGTGGGCAAGGGTCGGACAGTTTTCTTCAGAGCTCTGGAAACCCCAAAGATGGACATGTCCTTCATCGCTCTCTTCCTCACGGCAGTGTCTGCTTCCACCGAGCCGCGTCGCTGTCGCCGGGCTTGTCTGTCAGCCGTGTGCGTGTCCGCAGGGGGATTCGATAACGTGCTGTGTTGAGAAACGCACACACAGAACACACCTGGAGATCAGCTGTTCCGATTCACTGATACCGTGAGTGTAACCATGTGTGTGTCTCCATCCAGATGTTTGTTTTTTTTCATATTGACATCTTGTATTTTTCCTTATCTTCATCAGTTCTTCATCGTCCATGTGACAGAAAGAGTCAAACGGATTGTTTGGCATCCAAATCACCGTATTACCCACAATTCCCATCAACATTTTCAGATTCATTCATTCATGATTCAAGCTCTTTTTTTGGCATCTGTACAGCTTGAGATCCATCGAGATGAAATTACTAAATGATGTTATTTACTCGCCCTCATTTAATTTCAAACCTATTTGACTTGTGGAACATAAACGAGGATATTCTGAATGTGAAAAATGACCAGTGTTTTTGGTGCATACAAAGATTTCTTCAGTAAGTATAGTCAAAAAGGTTTGGAACGACATTATTTTTTGGTGAGCTATCCCAAATGAGAGTGTGTCTTGTGAAAATCGCTACATCTGATTGGTTATTGGTGTATTTTCATGGTTCCAGTGACTGTCTTGTGTATTAATGGTTCTGGATCTACTCACATTTGGCCTGTTGTGTGTGTTTGAAGGCTATTTCTATGCCTCAGATATGAATTGGCATGAATTACAGATTAATGAAATGAATGCTAAACTCTACTCACCGAGATCCATTGATGTGGTGCTGTGGTCTCGCTGACCTATTTTGTGCATGTGTGTGTGCTAGCCATGGGAATATGGCATCTTGCCACCTCATCACTCTGAAAAAAGAGACTTATTATTAGATGTTTTATTAAAATCCATACAATCACATACACAAATGGTTATAAAACATAATCCTAAAAGCATGATCCATCTGCAGCAAACATCTACGGAGTAGAGGAGAAGAATATCGTGTTTCATGCTTTCGGCATTACATCAGACACACGCACACACACATGGTAGGGATATCACGCCTGCCAGTGTAAAGCGGAACTAATGCATCTTCAGCACAGAATTAGCTTCCCAGCTTCCTGCATTATGTCAGCACACTAGGATACTGTTGCCTGGAAACCCAGTTCCTTCTCCTCACATTCCATTTATAGAATACAGCTGTGTGTCCCTGTGTAAGTAAAAGTGTTTATGGTGGCAACTACGGGCATGTGCAGGTGTGTGCACGTGCGTGCGTGCGTGTATGTGTGTGGAAGAAGTTTAATGGAGGAAAGGCCGATGAGTAAGTGGGATTGTGACTTAGGAAGGGGATGGAGAGAGAGGGAGACAATCTGAGATCAGAGTCTATATTAAGACATCCTGAATAATACAACAGAGAACACAGCACTGGATGACTGATCTTCACAAAGTTGTAAAAATAAACTCTCTCTCTCACACACACAACCACAGGCTGAAAATTATTTATCTCAATGTATAGTGTACAGTGTGTGAGAGCATGTAAAAGAAAAAAAATAAAACAGTAATAAAACAGATGAAATAAGACCTGTAAGTGGCACATAATGTTGGGCCAGATGTTACCACTGTTTGCATGTAATGTTAAGTGACTGACTGATCGTACTGGTCTTAACCGGTTTATTTACTTTGTAGGCAGAATTGCCCGCTGAAGTTAGTGATGAGTAGACGGATGGATGGATGGATGGATGGACGGATTGACTTAACAATAGATAGATGGATGGATGGCCGGATGGATGGATGATGAAGGGATGGATTTACTGAATAATAGATGGATGGATGGATGGATGGATGGATGGATGGAGGGATGGAGGGATGGATGGATTGACTGAACAATAGATGGATGGATGATAGAGGGATGAATTGACTGAACAATAGATGGATGGAGGATGAAGGGATGGATTGATTGAACAATAGATGAATGGAGGAATAGATGGAGGTATAGATGGATAGATGGATGGATGGATTGACTGAACGATAGGTGGAGGGATGGATTTCCTGAATAATAGGTGGATGGATGGAGGGATGGATGGATTGACTGAACAATAGATTGATGGATGATAGAGGGATGAATTGACTGAACAATAGATGGATGGAGGATGAAGGGATGGATTGACTGAATAATCGATAGATGGATGGATGGGTGGATGAATAGAGGGATGATGGATGGATTGACTGAACAATAGATGGATGGATGATGGAGGGATGGATTGATTGAACAATAGATAGATCAACATCAAACAATAGATAGAATAGATGGAGGTATAGATATGGATGGATTGACTGAACGATAGATGGAGGGATAGATGGATTGACTGAACAATAGACTAATGTAGGGTTAGATGGAGGTATACATATGCATGGATGGATGGATGGATAATGGATGGAGGGATTGACTGAACAATAGATAGATGGATGGATGGATAGATGGAGGTATATATGGATGGAAAGATGAATTGACTGAACGATAGATGGAGGGATTGATGGATTGACTGAATGTGGTGAGCAACACCGGCCTCGCGACTTTCTCTCACGTCCCTCGGCCGTCCTGCTCACCACACTGAACAATAGATGGATGTAGGGTTAGATGGAGGTATATATGGATGGATTGACTGAACAATAGATGGATGGATAATGGATGGAGGGATAGATGGAGGTATAGATGGATTGACTGGGCAATAGATGGATGGATAATGGATGGAGGATCGATGGAGGTATAGATGGATTGATGTATGGATTGACTGAAGAATAGATGGATGGAGGGATAGATGGAGGTATAGATGGATGGATGGGTGGATGGATGGAGGGAGGGATAGATGGAGGTATAGATGGATGGATTGACTGAACAATAGATGGATAGAGGGATACATGGAGGTATAGATGATGGATGCATAGATGGAGGTATGGATGGATGATTGACTGAACAATAGATTGATAGATATATAGATAGATAGATAGATATATAGATAGATAAGCTGTATAATAATATATATATATATATATATATATATGTGTGTGTGTGTGTGTGTGTGTGTGTTATATCTTCATTTAGATAGCTATATAAACATGTGTGTTAAACATGCTTGCTCTTGCCCTAGGATAACAAATTCCCCAGAGAACATATGCTAGTGGGTGTGTGTGTGTGTGTGTGTGTGTGCGCGTGTGTGCGCATATGTCTCACCTGTACCTCTGAAGTTCATTGTGTTTTTATATAAAGAACAAGCTCTCAGGAGGACAGTATGGCATTGTGTGTGAGACACTCATGTCTCTCTCTCTCTTCATCTGTCTTTTAGGCAGTCTCTCTGCTGTGCTGAAGGATGGATTCAGGGGAAGACGAGTGCACCCGTTTCCTACAGTACGTGGAGGACAGTGGTCTGAGGGCGTATGACGAGCTGGTTATCCAGAACGCCTCCGACATCGCTCGAGAGAGCGACCGCGTCCGCAACCACACACAATGGACATACCTACAGGAAAAAAACCAGAAGAAGAGACGGCAGGAGGAAGCTATCAAGAGGTACACACTCATGGCTAGAGATAGACTGATATAAATGTTAATATTGCACATAATTAATGCTATTGGCTATCACTCTTGTATATACTTAGGGATTTGAACAAACCTCCTGAATCAATATATATAATTCAGATTGCAGATTTATCATTTTCACCTAGTAAAGAATAAAATAGACAGAAAAGCACATTAAAGGGTATTTAGGAACTAGAATATCATGGAGACCTGGCAACAACCCAGAACACCCTTAGCAACCACCCTGAATGCATTTTAACCTGAAAATTGCCGACAAATTAAGTTGTCCGACATGCATATATGCTAACTTTTTTATTTGATATATTAAATGAACATGGTTAATTAATTTTATATATTATATATTACAATTTCTTTATTTGTTTATTTTTTGTGAAGACAGAAGTGATGTTCTGTATTTCAGAACTATAAACCAATCAATAAAATATATTAGAGTTGGATTATTTAGAAAGTATTAACAATAATAATTGATTAATTACATTTTTTACATTAATTACAAATACATTGCACCTCGACATCATGTCGGTGAGTTTCTTAATGAACAAGCACCACACACAATTTCTTAAGAAAATGTAAACGTCTAGTTAATATTAATGCCACTAGTATGTTCTCTTTAACATTTGTTAGTCAGTCACATGAGCAGAGAGAGAGAGAGCGAGCGAGAGAGGCAGGGAGATAAAGGTCACTGGTCCTGAGCTCATAAAGTCGATGAGGAAATAGCTGGATATTAGAGAGGCAAACACAGAGTCAATGAAAACCTTTGGCCATTACGGTGTGTGTGTGTGTGAGTGTCTGTGAAAAAGGAGCGACAGAGAGTAATTTAGAACAGACATTTCAGCCAATCTAATAAAAGACAGACACAAAAGGATGCTCTGATTTATCCAACAGCGGCCCGAGGTGTGAGTTTGTGTGTGTAATTATATTCCACTGCATTTGTATTCTCCTTTATTGCTGTTTTGTCTTCTGTGTAGCTAAATTTGGATCCACAAAATGCTGTATGCAACCCATTTTACTTCAGTAGTGATGTATTTCTGAGGGGAAAAGTTTATTAATAAATTATATTAACTGATATTCAAATTATATATACGTCTAATTATACACAGCAAATCTCGGCTGCATGATTGTTTTAAATCGTCACAAAATGTAAACTGTATTATCACATGGCTCTTATTGTATCCAGCTTTATTGACATATACTGTATATAGTATATTCACATAGTATATTCACAATATAATCTGCCTAACAGCCTGATTTTTGGGATATAAATTGGATATAAAAGTATGCTCAAGCATATCTCAACTGCTTGATTGCTTGTATCATCGCAAAATTTAAACTATATTATAATATCAATAAATGTGACCATAAGTAGGGGGTGGCCATTATGACCAAAATACGTATATAGTCATTTTATTTCACGATAACTATATATAGCCTATCGTTATTCACAATTTTTTCAATGATTTTTGATACCATTGAAATTTCATAAATCTCTAACTTCAATGTCACTAATACTAAACTAATACTAGCTTAACTAACATACCAGTAAGTAAAAAAAAAAAAAACTTACAAAAGGCAAGTAAACAGTCAATAGGACAAAAAATTACATAGAACTGCAATGGATTTTAACACCTGTGTGTGTGTGTATTTGACCGTCGCGTCAAAAACAACTCGATACTTGTACGCTGTATGAGCAGCGGCTTTATGTGTGTGCATTTCAGGTGTGTGCGCTCCGAAACATATCCCGAAATAAGTTCTCTTTTGCTGTTAATTGCGCTTGAATGGTTTAAAATCACTTTTTTCGAAACCACAAGGCTTAAAAATGCATTTAAATGATAAGCTTTCGTGACGGCGCAGCACGGGAACGTCACGTCTGCGCAACCCCGATAGAGACTATGGTCTGAAATCTCACCCATAATAAGGCATGAAGATATTAAGATATTATAACAACATCATGAAACAAGCACTATTTAATTTGACTTGACTTTCATTTAACATTCCTTTACTCTCCCTGCCTGCTTCATTCCACTTTTATCCTTCCGCTCTCTCTCTTTATCAGCAACTTGTCCTCTCAACCCCCTCATTTTCCCCTTTAACCCTACATTTCCTCCTGTTTGTACTACCCTGTAATCGAACCTCAGACTCTTTCCTCCTCTTTAGCATCTCTCTGAGAGGTCTGAGTGGTTGCCATCTTTTCATACAGCTTGGGTCCTCTTACAACAGTAATGGGGCGTAAGTGGGGTGTTCTTCATGAGGAGAGGAGGTCAATGACACACACACACACTGAGTGATCTAGTTCATCTGTGGTTTGTCTCTCTCTTGGAAGGTTTTAGTGAGATTAAACAATCAGGATTACAGAATGCAGATGCAATTTCATTAATATAACTCATTAAAGAGGATCAGAACACACACATATAAACACTGAAAGTGGGAGGGCCTAAAGTCACACCTCCTTTGACTGGAGAGGGAAAAAACAGGGTCTGTCACCATGGAGACAGAGGGGTGAGTTTCTATGGCAACAGTGGGCTTGGTCCTCGTCTCCCTCTCGTCTCTAAATTTAGACTGCCGGCCCCTGAGGACAAATGCACATGCTCGCTTGAAACACACAACAAAAAGCAGGTTTGTATGTGTCACTCAACTGTTATCACACACATAGAGAAACCCATTCATGACGCACAATGGAATATCTGAATCTGATGACCTTAAGGGACCTACATAATACCATAAATCCTGTTATAACTCATCTCACTCTCTTATATGAGTGTGTGCATGTTGATGTGGCTTAAAATGAATTTGAATATGATTGGATTGGGAAATTAATATGAATTTAAATACACAAATATTCTATAGACACACCTAAGAATGTTTCTCTATAAGCAAACAATGTCTATGTATTGTGAGTTTTTATATACCATACTTCAATTAAGACAGGCAAACTTTCTTTGTTGTGGTGTTAAAACAGGTTGGTGAATCTCACAAAGAAATGTCCAGGTTAAATTTCGCCCTGAAAATAAGAAATGATTATACATTAAAAAATAAATTAAGTGTATTTTAGTATAATTAAGCTTTTTCCCAATGTCACTTTATTTTCATAACATTATAAATGTTTAAATCATTACAGTAATGAAAATGTTCATTTTATAAACTCTAATAATAAAAAATAAAAATAATAATAAAGGCGAGTTGAACTGAACCCAATGTTCAAGTTTTGTTAAATAAATCTGATCAAAACAAATGCAAAATAAACAAAGACTTGACTTAAACCATGAACTAAACTTGAACAAATATGTTCACAAAAAAAGAAGATAAGCTAGACAATGGGAATATGAGGGCTATATATTTATATATACACACTCAACTAAAGGATCAACACTATACTAATACTGTGTTTGACCCCTTTCACCTTCAGAACTGCCTTAATTCTACGTGCATTGATTCAACAAGGTGCTGAACGCATTCTTTAGAAATGTTGGCCCATGTTGATAGGATAGCATCTTGCAGTTGATGGAGATTTGTGGGATGCACATCCAGAGCAAAAAAACTCCAGTTCCACCACATCCCAAAGATGCTCTATTGGGTTGAGATCAGGTGACTGTGGGGGCCAATTTAGTACAGTGAACTCATTGTCATGTTCAAAAAAACCAATTTGAAATGATTTGAGCTTTGTGACATGGTGCATTATCCTGCTGGAAGTAGCCATCAGAGGATGGGTACATGGTGCCCATAAAGGGATGGACATGGTCAGAAACAATGCTCAGGTAGGCCGTGGCATTTAAACGAAGCCCAATTGACACTAAGGGGCCTAAAGTATGCCAAGAAAACATCCCCAACACCATTACACCTCCACCACCAGCCTGCACAGTGGTAACAAGGCATGATGGATCCATGTTCTCATTCTGTTTACGCCAAATTCTGACTCTACCATCTGAATATCTCAACAGAAATCGAGACTCATCAGACCAGGCAACATTTTTCCAGTCTTCAACTGTCCAATTTTGATGAGCTCTTGCAAATTGTAGCCTCTTTTTCCTTTTTGTAGTGGAGATGAGTGGTACCCGGTGGGGTCTTCTACTGTTGTAGCCCATCCGCCTCAAGGTTGTGCGTGTTGTGGCTTCACAAATGCTTTGCTGCATACCTCGGTTGTAACGAGTGGTTATTTCAGTCAAAGTTTCTCTTCTATCAGCTTGAATCAGTCGGCCCATTCTCCTCTGACCCCTAGCATCAACAAGGCATTTTCGCCCACAGGACTGCCGCATACTGGATGTTTTTCCCTTTTCACACCATTCTTTGTAAACCCTAGAAATGGTTGTGCGTGAAAATCCCAGTAACTGAGCAGATTGTGAAATGCTCATACCGGTCCGTCTGGCACCAACAACCATGCCACGCTCAAAATTGCTTAAATCGCCTTTCTTTCCCATTCTGGCATTCAGTTTGGAGTTCAGGAGATTGTCTTGACCAGGACCACACCCCTAAATGCATTGAAGCAACTGCCATGTGATTGGTTGATTAGATAATTGCATTAACGAGAAATTGAACAGGTCTTCCTAATAATCCTTTAGGTGACTGAACATCGACTAATGACTTAAGACACACCTAAAAGCAATGAATAATAAGCCAATGACACAACTGGAAAAACCATTCAAAACATAACAGATAAACCAATTAAGGGCAGCACATGACATGATCACTTGAGGAACAAGAGAATCACATGACATGACAAGAAAACATCAACAAAACCAAAACTAAGGGTTGCCTCAGACAGCCAAACAAAACACAAAAAGTCCAGAGGGTGGCGGAGCAGATGAGGTCCAGGGGGAGGAATGGAGGGCCAGGCCCATGTCTGGAAGATGGGGCGAAGGACCAAAACATGGAAGATCAGGTGGTCATGGTGAGGCCAGTGGAGATGGAAACCATCAGAGCGGTGCTGGTGGAACAAGAATTGGGCAAATCCTTCTAGCCATGACATGGGGCAGTCC